GGCGGGGCAGGGTGGGGTGGAGTATATAGAGGTGTGCCGAGCAATTAGCGGCCATCGCGGACGTGCAGGAGGTGCGGTGGCAGCTGCAGCAGCAGCAGGGTGGCGATGATGAGGAGGGTGAGCATACTGTATGAGGAATTCGGCGAGCATCAAAAATGCATTTGGCAGCAGGCAAATAAGAAGAATATCGGCGCGAATTAAGAGACTTGCTTGGACTGCGAGGACGTGCAGCCCGAGCGGTCAGGCGGGGCGAGGCGGATAGCGTCGTACAAGTAAGCATCTCTTTTAATCGATATTTCCAGTCGCTTTTATGTACTTTTTGTACCCCAGCGCAGCCGCCCGACCGGCCATGTTTGTGGCCGCGCCGTTCTCCTTGAGCCCCGGAGAGACCGAGCCGAAGAGCACCGATGTAACGCCGTGTAACGCGTTAGCCGACACCATCTCGTAAATGTACCACAGCCGTTCATCTTCGATACATGCTCAAGTTACCAGTAAAAGTTGTACTATCTTTTCCCCCCAAAATGGGTATTAAGTTGAAAGTCACGTTCCATGCGATATATTTGGTACGGCCAAAAAATACAAAAAAAACAAAACGCGAAAATAAAAAATAAATAATGAGAAGTTGTCGCGGGTGGGCCCACCCACCTCACCTCGGCTCTCGCCTTGGCTTCCCCGCCACCCAGGATGAATCAATCCGATCGAAGCAGCGACGGCCGCTATCTGATCAGCACCGTGAAAAGCCAAGCGGGATGACAATGTCGCGGTGCGGAAGCCGAGGAGGGGGACGTCCCTGTGCTCACGAAAGGGAAGGAGGGAATGATAACAGACAGAGAGCGACAAGAAGAGAGAAAGAAGAAAAAGTGAGGGAACAAAAGAAACGACAACTGTCCTGAAAGCCAATGATCGGAAACAGGAGGAAAGGAAATCGAATGACGCCGCACTAATGCAAGGCGGCAGCCTAGGGGACACGTAGGGCCGCGGGGGAGGGGGCGGCGGCGGGGGCGGCCGGAAGCTCAAGCGCCGCGTGTATTTGTTTTAGCTCATGCTCAGGTGGGGCGCGGAGCCCCCGCCAACCCCTGCGCTAAGTGTGGGAAAATGGGGGGCGGCGCGGCTTGGGGTGGGGGAGGCTGTGTGAAAATCCCGACTTCCCCGGCCCGGTCCCCTCCCCTCATCACCCTCTCTCCCCGAACTAGTACGCGTACGGCTATAGTTTCCGTTCCACGCTTGGTTATTTCCGCAAGGAGAGAGACCCCGAGGAGGGGTGCAAGAAGGGTGCGCGGGCGCATAAGGTGCCAGGTGGGGCTGCCGGCCGCAACGGGGCCATGGGATGGGAAGCGCCCCCTTCTCCGCAACCCCAGGTTCCCTTCTGTTCCCAGGGGGGTCGGAACCGGGGCAGGTGGCATCGCCGCGAAAGATGCAGCTCCAAGTGCAACACGCACTCGGATAAAGAGCTGAGCTGCAGCGGTGCTTACAACTAGTTGCTCTCTCGCTCTCCCTCCCCGCTTCTCCTCTCACTCACACACGTACTGGAATTTGGAGGAGCCGCGAGTAGCACGAGGAGGGGTAAAGCTCCACTCAGACACACATTAGAACCTCGGGATGTGTACATGGTAGATAACTTTTGAGCCGATTATGAATACCGATGCGAAAATGTGCGCATTGATGGGGCGACGTGAATAGTAGTGCAGTACGTGTGCGCAGGCGCATACCAGCACGCATGGACCGCGCATGCGCAGCGGAGGGGGCGCGGGAAAGGGGCGCCGCCGCGGACAGCGACTACTCAGCCTGGACATCCACTAGACCCGACGTGCACTGGACGTGTACTGGGCGTGCACTGGACGTGTACCGGGCGTGCACTGGACGTGCACAGGGCGTGCACGGGAGGGCGTGCAATAATGGACGTGCTGGCACCCAAAGCCAACACACAGAGCCATCATCATAGCACGTCAAGTAATGTGTCAACACGTTTACGCGAGTCACAAAGTCGCAATGAACACCTTCTTCCTCTCTCTCTCTTTCTCTCTTCCTCTCCGTGGTAACGAGATGAAATTGATTATGATGTAACTCGACACCGATCCCCTTTCCCTGACCGGCGCGGCCCTCGGCCCTCACCTCCGAGGCGCAACAAGCAGACACACTCGGGATGACGGGGAAGCGGAGGTGGAGCTGGAGGGAGGGGGGGG